CAGCTACTCAGGAAGCTGAGGCAAGAGAATCACTTGAACCTGGGAGGTGGGAGTTGTAGTGAGCCAAGATTGTGCCAGTGCACTCCAGCCTGGCGACAGAGCAAGACTGTTTCAAAAAAAAAAAAAAAAAGAATTTTGGACTCTAGCTGGCTGCATTGCACCTCAGCTTCCTGATGAGTGAGGATTGCTTGAGCCCTGGAATTTTTTTTTTCTTGAAACAAGGTCTCTCTCTGTTGCCCAGGCTGCAGTGCAGTGGCATGATCATGGCTCACTGCAGCCTCCATCTCCTGGGTTCAAGTGATCCTCCCACCTCAGCCTCCTGAGCAGACTAAGCAAACTCTCCTGAGCAGACTAAGGCATGTGCCACCACGCCTAGCTAACTTTATTTATTTATTTTGTGTGTAGAGATGGGGTCTTACTACATTGTCAGGGCTGGTCTTGAACTCCTAGACTCAAGTGATCCTCCTGCCTCGGCCTCCCAAGATGCTGGGATTACAGGCATGAGCCATTGTGCCCAACCTAGCCCAGGAATTCAAGGCCAGCCTTGGCAATACAGTGAGGCCCCAGGTCTCAAAATAATAAATAAAAGGCTAGGCACAGTGGCTTACACCTGTAATATCAACGCTTTGGGAGGCTGAGCTGCGTGGATCACTTGAGGTCAGGAGTTTGAGACTAGCCTGGCCAATGTGGCAAAACCTCGTCTCTACTAAAAATACAAAAAATCGCTGGATGTGGTAGCGCACGCCTGTAATCTCAGCTACTCAGGAGGCTGAGGTGGGAGGATCACCTGAACCCAGGAGGCAGAGGTTGCAGTCAGCTGAGATCACGCCACTGTACTACAGCCTGGGCGACAGAGTGAGACTTCATCTCAAAAAAAAAAAAAAAAAACGATTTTTGTACTTGACTGTGCTCTCTCATCCAGGTGGTGACATGCTTGTGTTTGGTTAAGAGATAGCATCCTAGCTGCAGTGTGGCTGCTTGGGTGGCAGCAGGGCTAGGTAGATGTGAGGAGCCCAGGTCAGGGCTTTCACTGCAGCTCTGGCAGCAGATGATTGTGGCTGGGCCTCCAAGGGTCACTGTGGTGAACGAGAAAAGGTTACCATTTTGAGATTAACTCTGGACTTGTTGATAGATTAAGTGTAGGGTGGGGTAAGAAAGAGAACTCTGTAATCCCAGCACTTTGGGAGGCTGAGGCGGGTGGATCACGAGGTCAAGAGATCGAGACCATCCTGGTCAACATGGCGAAACCCCGTCTCTACTAAAAATACAAAAAATTAGCTGGGCATGGTGGTGCGTGCCTGTAATCCCAGCTACTCAGGAGGCTGAGGCAGGAGAATTGCCTGAACCCAGGAGGCGGAGGTTGCGGTGAGCCGAGATCGTGCCATTGCACTCCAGCCTGGGTAACATGAGTGAAACTCTGTCTCAAAAAAAAAAAAAAAAGAGAACTCAAAAATGACACCAGGTGTCTCAGCTGAGTCACGGGGAAAGTGGGGCAAAGGGAAAGCAATGCAGGGACTGGGAGGGGAGAAGGTGAGTCCCATTTTGTTTGTGCTGCATCTGAGGAGCCTGTAGCCTGTGGAAGGGGAGCAGTCCCAGAGTATGCAGTTCTGGAACTTAGAAGAATGATTAGGAATAAAGATATTGGGAATTCAACTACAAAGTCACAAATGCAGAGTAAGAGCCTGTGGAGAGAGGGCAGAGGCCCAAGATGGCACAGAGGGAGAGAGAAGCCACCAACGTGGCAGAGAGCCATGGCCAGGGAGAAAAGCAGCAAACCAGGGGCCTGTGGCACCATGGAACAGGTGACGCTAGAGATGCGTGTCCATGGAGTGACAGCTGCTGAAGCCAGATTGTTACGGCCTGAGGGCTGGTGGTGCTACAGTGGTGGGGGTGAGGAGATGGCAAGGGTGGCAACTCCTCTCAGAGGTTCAGTTGGGAGGAAAAAGAGAAAGAAGGAAGTAACCAAAGGATATAGGTCAAGGAAGAGTTTATTATTTCTAACTGGTCAAAGTAGAACGTGGTAAAACCCAATAAAGTAACAACAAATAACAAAGAGGGGCTTTTAATGGAAAGCTGCAGTGCCCACCCTTGGCCTCCCTAGCCCCGCTCCTCGGAAGCAGCCCCCTGGAGTAGTTTCTCATTCTGCTGCTTTTGGAGGCTACTTCTGTCTCTGTAAAGGAACAAGCAGAGGCCATAGTGTCTTGACAAATGACTGTGGCATCGTTCATCCCAACCTGCTCTGAGAGACGGGGACTCTACTCATTCATCCCCGCCCCTGCCGCTCAGTTCCTCCAACAAAGAACTAATCATATGTCATTAAGGCAAAAGACATATTTGGCACACTTAGCTTCTGTGTTCCAGAATTCTCTTTTTCTCTAAGCGTAGACTTTGATAGGGTATTTAAGTTTTGAAGTAATTTGACACAAGCAACACAAGTGAGTGGTAGTAGCATTTGCAAAAGTTACAAACGATGAAGTCTTGCTCCAAAAGCACATTATTATTGTTTTTTAAAATCTAGTTTCCAGGTCAGTGGATTTTAGTAGAGAAGGGCCAGAGCTATGACGACTCCCCGTTACTGTTACACATGCTGCATCCCAAGTAGGGAAACTGCTGCTTTGCCCATGCCCTGAGCAAACTCCAGTGGGTCATCACCCCCTCCCTGTAGCCCAAGTGGGCTGCTGGGTCAGGGCCCTCTGGGTTGGGTTAAGACTCCTGGATCTTTAACTAACACCTTCCAAAGAATTGGCCTTGCAGAGAACAAGTTCAAAGTTCATTGGCCAGAGATATTCCCAATGTCTGGTCTCTCCCTCTGTGGTAGGGGTCTTTACTCCCCACTTTACAAGATGAGGATGTCTGCTGTACCCCATTCCTTCAACCTCTCTACCTCCTCTTTGCTGTTTTGTCCACCACGTGGTCACTTTTCCATCACCGAGGCTGATGAGATCCTTACTGTGTACTTACTGTCTCCAAGCGTCCCCAGGCTGCCAGCCAGCACGCAGCAGCAGGCAGAAGGAAGGAGGTTTGCATTTCCTTCTCCTGGGTCCAGTGTCATAGTCTCAGGGTTATTATCTCCAAGGTGGAAGGTTGCTAGATCAGGAGCAGTTCGACTCCACTGTTTTCAGTCTAGTAAGTTTGAGTTTTTTCCAAGAGGCCTCCCTATAAGGAAGGGTCTAGTTTTCCGGGGCGCCCTGAGAAGAAGGGGCCAGCAGGAGGGAGGAATGGTGGAGGCTGAGGCGTCAGGCAGGTGCCCTGTGAGGAGCAGCTGTGCAAGTGGCTGAGACCTCAGGAAAGGGTTGTTGCCCAGAATCTGGGGCCTATGCGAGGTTGGAAATGACAAATGCACTTGGTTTCTCCAGCAGCCAGCACATAGTAGGATAACCCCAGGACTGGCGCCTTTGAGGACAAAGGAAGGCGTGAGGCTCCGAGAGCAGTCGGCTGGCAGCCAGGGCCTGGCCGGGGAGGGAAGGCAGCTGGTGTGCTGACCTGGGGGTCTTTGAGAGTGTGCAGGGGTATGTGGCTGAAGTGGCCCAGCTGGTGAGCCCCTGAAGAGGGGGTCGTAGGTAGATGTAGGGACTGCCAGGTCAGAATCTCAGTAGGAGATGGCTGGAGATGAGGCTGCTGCCTGGCAGAGGGGTTTAGAAGATACTAGGAAGAGCCGGGCGCGGTGGCTCAAGCCTGTAATCCCAGCACTTTGGGAGGCCGAGGCGGGTGGATCACAAGGTCAAGAGATCAAGACCATCCTGGTCAACATGGTGAAACCCCGTCTCTACTAAAACTACAAAAAATTAGCTGGGCATGGTGGCGCGTGCCTGTAGTCCCAGCTACTCAGGAGGCTGAGGCAGGAGAATTGCCTGAACCCAGGAGGCGGAGGTTGCGGTGAGCCGAGATCGCGCCATTGCACTCCAGCCTGGGTAACAAGAGCGAAACTCCGTCTCAAAAAAAAAAAAAAAAAAAAAAGAATGAAGATACTAGGAAGGAAGCACCACAGTGCCCGGGGGCCAAGCAGACCCTGGAGATGGTCATTGGAGGGCGCCTGTGTGGATGGCGCAGAGTGGGATGGGAAGTCCCTAATCTGCTGGGGCTTTCCCAGAGAGGAGGGACTGAGGGGGATAGTCCCCAACACATGGGCCCCAGGGAGAAGGGCCTGTTTCATTGAGGTTTTGAGAGCGTTGAGGGTACGCTAACCCACCACCCCATGCTCCCAGGAACGGGGACTGATGGGGAGAGGCCTTTTCCTTGCAGGAGATGGCGTCTACCAGAAGGGGATGGACTTCATTTTGGAGAAGCTCAACCATGGGGACTGGGTGCACATCTTCCCAGAAGGTCAGCAGGGCTGACTGGGTTGAATCCCCCCAGTCTGAGCAGGATGGGCTCCCGAGCCTCGCCTCTGTGCTCTCTTACCAGGGAAGGTGAACATGAGCTCTGAGTTCCTGCGCTTCAAGTGGGGTAAGGGTGCTGGCCTTTGGCCACAGCCATCCTCCGGGCCCAGAGATGGTCCCGTGGGCCCTTGGCTCCTGTCCCCTCGGGCTCGGTTGTATGGGGGCAGATGGGAGTGTTGTAGCGGCAGGAAGGGGATGGTTCTCAGACTGGGGCTTGCCCAGGGGAGCTGAAGCAAACTGGAGGATGCCAGTGGGGGGCACTGGACAGAGGCTGGCACAGAAGCTTGGCCCAGGGCCCAGCTCATGCTAATATTTCTGCCTCCCCCCGGGCAGGAATCGGGCGCCTGATTGCTGAGTGTCATCTCAACCCCATCATCCTGCCCCTGTGGCATGTTGGTGAGCCTGGGGATGGGGACAGAGATAGGGCATCTGGGGTGGGGAGCCTGGGACTCCCTCTGGTCCCAGGCTGCCCTGCTCCACCCCACGTCTGGCCTTTTGTCCACTGTGCTGCAGGAATGAATGACGTCCTTCCTAACAGTCCGCCCTACTTCCCCCGCTTTGGACAGGTGGGTGGGGACTGCTGACCTTTGGCTGGCTGACTTTCTGCCTGTCTGTCTGCCATCTACCCCATGTCTCCCACTCAGCACTATGGAGACCAGATGCAGGAGGAGCTGAGCGTGAGGCTGCAGCAAGGGACAGAGTGGAACATAGGGACTTCTTGGCACCGAGGCATTAAAATGAAAGCAGAGGGCCAGGCGTGGTGGCTCAAGCCTGTAATCCCAGCACTTTGGGAGGCCGAGGCGGGTGGATCACGAGGTCAAGAGATCGAGACCATCCTGGTCAACATGGTGAAACCCTGTCTCTACTAAAAATACAAAACATTAGCTGGGCATGGTGGTGCGTGCCTGTAATCCCAGCAACTCAGGAGGCTGAGGCAGGAGAATTGCCTGAACCCAGGAGGCGGAGGTTACGGTGAGCCGAGATCTCGCCATTGCACTCCAGCCTGGGTAACATGAGTGAAACTCCGTCTCAAAAAAAAAAAAAAAAATGAAAGCAGAGGAAGTCAGGATGGGGCAGGGGTGGGCCATGGGTTGAGGACAGGACAGGTCATCTACAGCACAGGACCCAGGACCAGGACCAGGACCTGCTTGTGGAGGGAGACTGGCCCCTGGGGAGCATAGCAGGGCCGGGCTTAGCTTCTGGCTCTGGCATTGCTGGGGCTGGGGCTGTGGGCACTCCTCTTGCTGCTCCTCACTCTCGGCCGCCACCCCACAGAAAATCACCGTGCTGATTGGGAAGCCCTTCAGTGCCCTGCCCATACTTGAGCGGCTCCGGGCGGAGAACAAGTCTGCGGTGAGTTTCCCCCTGGGTCCTGCCAGCAGGGCGCTTCCACCCTCTCCATCCCCTCACCCTCCCAGGCCATTCCCTGTCCTTTTCCCTCAGGTGGAGATGCGGAAAGCCCTGACGGACTTCATTCAAGAGGAATTCCAGCGTCTAAAGACTCAGGCAGAGCAGCTCCACAACCACCTCCAGCCTGGGAGATAGGCCCCGCCTGGCCGGCCCCGGGGAGCAGCCGGGGCTGAGGCTGGGGAAGATGCAGCGCCAGGGCCCAGGCCGAACTGGGCTGGCTGTCCTTGCTCGCTGCCTTCTGGATTCTTGGCCTGCACAGAGCTGAGTCTATAGGAATGACTGATGCTCTTAGCTCAGATGTGGCTTTTAGACAGATTTGTTCATTGCCCCTCTCAAGTGCCCTCTGAGCTGGGGGCCATTATTCCAGCTCCTCTGTGCTTCCTCGGTTAAACCAAGGACCTCAGCTGCTTCTCCCACTTGGCCAAGCAGGGAGGAAGAAGCTTAGGCAGGGCCCTCCTTCCTTCTTGCCTTTGGATGTTCTCTCTCAGGGGCCGGTGTCACGAGGGAGCATAGAAATCAGGTGAGCAAGCAGTTGGCTGAGGGAGCGGGGGACCCACCAGAGCTGTGGAGAGGGCCCCCAAGACTCCTCAGCCTGGCTCCTACGCACGCGCCCTTGGCGAACCAGGAGCTGCTCATACCTCCTCAGGGATGGCCGTTGGCCACGTCTTCCTTCTACTCGACCTTCCCCCTGCCACGGGCCCTTTCCTCGGGCAAGGTCTGGCCTCAGGTGGGCCATAGGCGGAAGAGCAACCCTTGGCCAGAAGTCAGGCCCAACCACATGGAGCCTAGAGCTGGGGCCACCGACTTCTCCATCCTTTCTGCCTCCCAGCATCACTTGAGTCCCAGGGCCTTGGTTTTCATGTTTTTGAAACAGAACAATAAAGCATATGTGTTAGCTTGTTATATAATACCTCTGGCCTCTGTCGGGGTGGAAATGGGAAGTGACTGCTGGACACGAAGCCTGGACCCTTAGTGCCCCATCACAACCTTGCACAAATAGAGATTAATCTTATATTGCCACGGAGGTAGAGTGAGGCTAAGGAACTTGCTTCAAAACCCAAAGCTACCCCGGTAGATTGGGGCCACACTTCAGAGAACCCCGAGTATGGAGAACGATTGGATCCTACCTGGGTCTCATCATAGGTGGGAGAGGAGCTTTGACGGGCCCAATGAGTAGCCAGACACGAGCGGTGCACGCTGTGATCAGGAGGTAGGGGGGTACCCAGATGGAGCTGGGGGTCCTGGGTGGGAGCAAAGGCAAATCCAGGATGGTGGTACAGACACAGTATTAAAAATACTATAATGGAAATGTGGAAAGAAAGAAAGGACAGAGCCAGCAACAAGAGAAGATTCAGAAAACCAGGTCTGTCTGCAGTGCTGCTGCCTCATTATTTCAATATAAAAGTTTTTTTTTTTTTTTTTTAAATGACCAAAATGGGAAAAAATTACCTGGGAAAAAACAAATACTTACAATTAAATATGGATAAAAGCAGCTGGGCATCGTAGCTCACACCTGTAATCCCAACACTTTAGGGAGGCAAGGTGGGCAGATCATTTGAGGTCAGGAGTTCAAGACCAGCCTGGCCAACATGGTGAAACCCCTGTCTCTACTAAAATACAAAAATTAGGTCAGTCGCAGTGGGTCACACCTGTAATCCCAGCACTTTGGGAGGCCGAGGTGGATGGATCACCTGAGGCTAGGAGTTCCAGACCAGCCTGCCCAACATGGTGAAACCCTGTCTCTACCAAAAATACAAACATAAGCTGTGCATGGTGGCAGGTGCCTAGAATCCCAATTACTTGGGAGGCTGAGGCAGGAGAATTGCTTGAACCCGGGAGGCGGAGGTTGCATTGAGCCAAAATCATGCCACTGCACTCCAGCCTGGGCGATAGAGACTCCGTCTCAAAAAAAAATTATTTTTAATGAAAATGAAAATAAAAAGGAATGACATTTTGATACATGCTACCAAATGGATACTCTAAAGGATTTTCAAGAAACATTATGCTAACTGCAATGATCCAAACACAAAAGGCTACATATTATATGATTCTACTTATATACTTAATGGCTTCAGATCAGAAACAAAAAGTACAAGGGTGGTTGCTAGGGGCTAGAGTGGGAAGTTGTATGATGGGGACACAGCTTGAGTTTGGGAAGCTGGAAAGAGCTCTGAAGATGGATGGTGGTGATGGTCGTACGATGTGAACGTACTTGATGCCACTGAACTGTACAATTAAAAGTGGTAAAGGGCCGGCCATGGTGGCTCACACCTGTAATCCCAGCACTTTGGGAGGCTGAGGTGGGTGGATCACCCGAGGTTAGGAGTTTGAGACCAGCCTGGCCAACGTGGTAAAACCCCATCTCTACTAGAAATACAAAAAAATCAGCCAGGCGTGATGGTGGGTGCCTGCAATCCCAGCAACTCAGGAGGCTGAGGTAGGAGAATTGCTTGAATTTGGGAGGCGGTTGCAGTGAGCCAAAATTGCACCCTTGCACTCCAGCCTGGGCATCAAGAGCGACACTTTGTCTCAAAAAAAAAAAAAAAAAAAAGAAAACACAAAAGGCAGAGTGTGCGCTGTATGAGTGCCAGAGACAGGGAAATTTAAAGCAACAGAAATTTATCTCCCAGTTCTGGAGAACAGAAGTCTGAGATCAAGGTGTTGCCAGGGTGGGTTCCGGTGATTCCCAGCAATGCTCTGTGTTCCTTGGCTTGCAGAGGTATCATTCCAATCTCTGCCTCTAGCTTTAGGCAGCGCTCTCCTTCCTGTGTCTGTGTCTCTTTTTCTCATCCTTTAAAGACATCAGGCACTTTGGGAGGTCGAGGCAGGCGGATCACCTTAGGTCGGGAGTTTGAGACCATCCTGACCAACATGTAGAAAGCCTGTCTCTACTAAAAATACAAAAATTAAATGGGCGAGGTGGCAGGTGCCTGTAATCCCAGCTACTCGGGAGGCTGAGGTAGGAGAATTGCTTGAACCTGGGCGGCAGAGGTTGCAGTGAGCCAAGATCATGCCACTGCACAGCAGCCTGGGCAACAGAGTGAGAATCCATCTTAAAAAATAAAAAGGACCATGCCATCTGATACCAATGCAGGATAGCTATTGCTTTTCAGGGGACGCAGGAAAATGGGGTTTGGGGGACCCCAGGTTTCTGCCAAGAAACTGGCAGGGCTCTTCACTGACTGTAAAGTCCAGTGGGGTGGTCTGAGTTTCCATGTATTTATTTATTTATTTATTTAGAAGGAGTCTTGCTCTGTCACCCAGGCTGGAGTGCAGTGGTGCCATCTCAGTTCACTGCAACCTCTGCGTCCCGGGTTTAAGCGATTCTCCTGCCTCAGCCTCCCTAGTAGCTGGAATTACAGGCGCCCACCACCACACCCGGCTATTTTTTTGTATTTTTAGTAGAGACGGGGTTTCACCGGGTTAGCCAGGCTGGTATCGATCGCTGGACCTCGTGAACCACCTGCCTCGGCCTCCCGAAGTGCTGGGATTACAGGCATGAGCCACCACGCCTGGCTGGGATTTCAATGAAGAAACGCTTTTACCCTAAAGATGAAGTCCCTGGACAGAAGGTGCTCATTGATGCTGTGAACAGTTGGTGAATGGCTCAGTTTAGATGTCATGGGCGCCCTACTCCGCATGTCCCTCCCAGCCCCACGTCTCAACCTTTGGAACATTCTTGACCCTGTATCATCACCTGCTGTCCTGCATGTCCTCTAGGCTAGACTGTGAACTTCCAGGGCAGAATCTAGGTGCCTGGCCCATAGCAGGTGCTTCAGGAAGCCTCAAGGGCCACCACTCCAGGGACCCTGGCAAGGCAGGGAAGAATAAAAGCAGCCACAGGTACGTTTCTTCCCTAAGGATGGAAACAGCTCAGCAACAGAGTGCTGGCCAAGGCAAGATTGCATTCCACATCCAGCAGAAAGACTTTTGAAACTATGTAACAATGGTAACAGAAACATAATAGGCTGGCTTGCTTGCTTGCTTGCTTTTTCTTTCTTTCTCTTTTTCTTTCTTCTTTTTCTTTTCTTTCTTTCTTTCTCTTTCTTTCTTTCTTTCCTTCTTTCTTTCCTTTCTTTTTCTTTCCTTCCTTCCTTCTGTCTCCTTCCTTTCCTTCCTTCTTTTTTTTTTTTTTTTTTCCTGCAGGCTGGAGTGCAATGGCCTGATCTAGGCTCACTGCAACCCTCCACCCCCACCCACCCCATTCAAGTGATTCTCCTGCATGTGCCTCCCGAATGCAGGCACCCACCACAATAATTGGCTAATTTTTGTATTTTTAGTAGAGACGGGGTTTTGCCATGTTGGGCAAGCTAGTCTTGAACCCCTGACCTCAGGTGATCTACCTGCCTTGGCCTCCTAAAGTGCTAGGATTACGTGCCCTCCCATGCTTTCCCTTTTTAGTTTGCTGGCTTCTCCTGGGATACAGTGAAGCTCCAGTGAAAACCTCTCACCTTAGCTAGTTCAGGCCTCGAAATGGCCACTTGGGGGGTCCCCTAAACACCCCAAACTTAATGAGCCCCCAAGTGATCTCATCTCCTAGTCCCCAATTCAGAGAGACCTAAGAGCTACAATGTTCTTCAACTGTATCACATCAGACCCACTTCCTCTCTCCAGCTCAACTGCCACCATCCTAGTTGTAGTCTGAACCAAACCTCATGTGACAATCATGACCACATGACCACAACCTTTTTTTCTTTTTCTTTTTTTTTTTTAAGATGGAGTCTTGCCGGGCGCGGTGGCTCAAGCCTGTAATCCCAGCACTTTGGGAGGCCGAGGCGGGTGGATCACGAGGTCAAGAGATCGAGACCATCCTGGTCAACATGGTGAAACCCCGTCTCTACCAAAAATACAAAAAATTAGCTGGGCATGGTGGTGCGTGCCTGTAATCCCAGCTACTCAGGAGGCTGAGGCAGGAGAATTGCCTGAACCCAGGAGGCGGAGGTTGCGGTGAGCCGAGATCGCGCCATTGCACTCCAGCCTGGGTAACAAGAGTGAAACTCCGTCTCAAAAAAAAAAAAAAAGAAAAAAAAAAAAAGATGGAGTCTTGCACTGTCGCTCAGGCTGTAGTGCAGTGGCGAGATCTCGGCTCACTGCAATCTCTGCCTTCTGGGTTCAAGCAATTCTCCTGCCTCAGCCTTCTGAGTAGCTGGGACTACAGGCGTGCGCCACCATGCCCAGCTAATTTTTTTGTATTTTTAATAGAGACGGGGTTTAACCATGTTGGCAAGGACGGTCTCGATCTCCTGACCTCGTGATCCACCCACCTCGGTCTCCCAAAGTGCTGAGATTACAGGCGAGAGCCACTGTGCCCGTCCTTTTTTCTTTTTGTTTTTCTTTTTGAGACAGAGTCTAACTCTGTCACCCAGACTGGAGTGCAATGGTGCGATCTCGGCTCACTGCAACCTCCACTTCCCGGGTTCAAGTGATTCCCCTGCCTCACCCTCCTAAGTAGCTGAGATTACAGCACATGCCACTACACCCAGATAATTTTTGTATTTTTACTAGAGATGGGTTTTCACCGTGTTGGTCAGGCTAGTCTCGAACTTTAGACCTCAAGTGATCCGCCTGCCTTGGCCTCCCAAAGTGCTGGGATTACAGGCGTGAGCCACTGTGCCCAGCCCAGGAATACAATCTGTTTCATTTTATTTTATTTTATTTATTTTTTTTTAATGTTGTTTAAAAAAAAAAAACAAATTAAAAAAAATGCACGAGCCGGGTGGGCGAGGTGGCTCACGCCTATAATCCCAGCACTTTGGGAGGCCGAGGTGGGTGGATCACGAGGTCAAGAGATCGAGAGCATGCTGGTCAACATGGTGAAACCCCGTCTCTAATAAAAATACAAAAAAATTAGCTGGGCATGGTGGCGCACACCTGTAGTCCCAACTACTCGGGAGGCTGAGGCAGGAGA